ATTTATAAAATAATGTTTACTATACATATACTTTGAAATCCAATCTTCCTTAAAGAATTACATAATTTCATTCTTAATAAATTTTTAAATTCCTCACATATTTTATTGCTTATTCTCAGCGCATTGCTTTATCATTTCTTCACCAATTTCTATTTATAATTATTAGTTCTTAATGATAATACGTTTTTATTGGCCATTCAAAACAACATAAAATTAAGTATATACATATGTGTGTGTGTGTATAGGCACTTTGGCAATCAATTAAACGTATTTTGAACCTTATCGCCTGCAGTATTTGTTGTCATATAGCTATGTATGTCTGGATAAGCTTCTTACTCAGCACCACACTACGCTGCTTCACGCTCCCACACGCTTTTTCAAATACATGCATACATATGTACAAGAACTACAACACTCAGGTGTACTAAGCAGCAAATTTCATGCTGTCTCCGCACATTTTAATTGCTCGCTGCTTGCTGTCTACGAAAATATTAAGAAAAAGATAATTCTAGATAAAGCAAGAATCACAACACGTGTGTCGCTGGCTCGCAATATAAATTATGAGATACACGCATGTTCATGCTGAAAACTACATAAATATCATAAATTCATTATCGCCCACATGTGACGTACACGTAGCCTATTTGAGGGCGCCATAACATAAACACTCACAGTGCGTCGGTTTATCATTCAGAAACAAAAACCGAGATCTTTGGTGTTGAACGAATGTCCTCTCGTTCCCACCCTCCTCCAGTCAGCTCCCACGCGCGCTGCTTTGTTTGCCGCGTCGCTTGTTGCATTCGCCTCACCTTAATAAGACGCTTCGACACTTCTGTCTGTCTGTCTGTCGACCGACCGGCGACGCGGTTCGCCTTCTGCGCCTTGCGCTTTTGAATTATGTGGCAATTTCTGCTATGATTTTTTTCTTCTTATGAGAAAATGTGAGGCAAAACAGACAGCAAATCATTCCTGGCGCTGTCTCATTTGGTACTTGGGTGCTTAAGTACTTAAGCATATCTGCTGTGTTTTCCAGACACTGCTGCCATTACATGTGCCTCATATACTACGCGTTGTTATTGTAATAAAATACTGGCCCTACATATGTATGTCTGCTGCCTTAATCCGCATTCGCGCCGCTTCAGCCCTTTTAATTTCGCGGCGAATTAAGATTTCATAATTTCGCATTAAATATTAATATGTGACGGTTAATTTCGATATCGTATATTAATTTGTGCGCTGAGCCGCGTCCGTTTTGAATTTCAATTTATTACCCAACTTAAGATTGTACTGAGATAAGTACTTTTGTTCATGCCTGAGCGATTTCAATTAATCATTTGTTTTTCCTTTTTTCTTTTCAGCCGAGCGCTTGCTGTCCGACAAGAGATTAATGTGAGTACAAAATAAAATTTTCGAAATTATTAAATACTAGCACAATATATTATATTATGTTTTGCGTCCGATTCTCCTTAGACATTGCGGTTGCCGCAACGGTGTTAGAACCTTTGTTCGGAGTGAAGCCCACACTGATGTAGAAACAGTGCTTCTATAGCACTATGCTTATTTGATAAACTATTCGAGAATAGATGCGATGATTAACTGCACAGAGAAGGAGTGTAGACTACTTATGTCACTTTCTTAGTTTTGTTTAAGTATTGACGCGTCTTTGATTTATTAATAATACTTTTGATTTACCATTTCTATGAAATGAACTTTCAGCTATAACCTTTTTAAAACAAGAACCTTTAAGTCTCCTTCCTCTCTCTTTCGACCACTCTGCTTGAGATAATTTAGCAAAGCTTTTTATGACTTGACCTACCCTTAATTCGGAAGCTGCCTTTTATATTTCGAGGTTTGGGAGCAGAAGCAAATATTAATACTATAAATTCGCAAAATGTTTTTCATTAAGATCTATTTTTCTATTTCTTAAAATATTCTTCATTGAGTTCTTAATTCGAATCCGCTTAATTCGCCTTATATCAGCTGAAAATATAGCTTCGAATCGTTTTGACAGCTCTAGAAAACTATACAGAATCTATCAAATCCGATCCTCAAAAGTTTAACCACAGCTTAAGTAAGTCGGCGGGTATATCTTAACTAGAGAGAAGCACGCTTATTTAATGTATTTAACCCAATACCGAATAGTTAAAAGCGCTTAAAAACTATTTCCGACTATCCGTCTTGCAACCTCGTTCCTTACTCACATCTTTATTTCTAGAAACTTCCTTACGCTCCACTTTGCTATCTTATAGCTTCGACGACCTTCATAGCACTTCAGAATATCTCTCAGCTCTTTCCAAAGTTCAGATGTCGCGCGCGTAAGGATCAGCAACTTTACTCTCCCCAATACCTAATCCTCCCATAACGCTGAGCAACTACACGCGACTAACTGTCACACAGCTTTTTTTACTCACATTTTACTCTCTGGTACATCAATTACAGTTTATTTTACTAACTAAGGCTTTCGACGCGCTGAAGAATACTGCAAAACAGCACTCAGGTCTTTCCAAAGCTTACAACTCTTGAATATGAAGATCGCAATTTTTATGATCGATAACCTCACTTATACTCTCCCAAAACGTTGACTCACTCTCGTTCAATCAACTGATTAATTTCATTTCAATTGCCGTTAATTACAGTCGCTTTAATTGCCAACAAAGTTGTGTACCGTTAAAGTAAGTATAAAAAAAATCATTCTGCAACAAAACCCAACACTTTGAGAGCACTTGCGGGGGCGCGCCAACTGCCCGCACACAACCTAACCTCATTTTGGCGGTGACTAGCACGATTATATGTACCAAATAAGGCTTAAACAACTGCGCGCACAATTAAAAGCGCCTAATTATCACCCTTCAACGCCACAAAATCGTAAAATAGTAAAGCAGTAAATAATACACTAACCGCTTACAAATTTTATTGCACCCAATGCGAAGGTGCAAGTGATATATGCGCAAGCGGCAAGCGCCGACGATGGCGAACAATGCAACTCCGTGCAAACAATGCAACACATGCCGCACACGCAATTCAATTCACAACGCAAACAGTTAGCGGGGGCGCGTGGTGCGTGGTGGGGTGCGCGGCAGCTACGTTTGCAACAATTTGCGCGAGTTAGTGCGAAAAGTTGGCGGTCGAAAGCTACAAACAGCACATTTACATTAAGGCAACCGCAATAAAGTTAGTTGGCGCCATCCTCGCCCGCCAGCCCGTACTCGCTGGGGGCGAGCATTTAAGCTGCATCGCAAATTCCACCAAAATTACAGATAAACAAAACAAATCCCCAAACGCAGCGCGCGCCGTGTGTGCGCAACCCTGCGCGTTAACCAGCAAATGAATTCAGCGCAACTGAAAGCCTCGGTCGCCGCGCGCTGTTGGAATGCGCGCAGGCGGCAGGCAGGTGGTGTCACAGTAAAATAACTGTAAATTGCGAATTAAGCCAAATCGCGCATGGGTTGCAAACGCCACACACACAATAAGCGGCACAAAGCGCGTGTGTTGGTTTGTGTGCGCAGTGTTGATTTGGTTCGAGAGTTTACTGTTGTATTTTGTTAGTCCCTTAAAAGCGACGAAAAAACCAACGAAATTTGGCGCATTTACAGTTACGGCGTTTGTTTGACCAGCGACCACCAGCAAGCGGCTTCCGCTGCTGTGCGGCTAAAATGTCCCGGCTCCAATGGATTTGTGTTGTTTAATTTTGTTTTGGTCTTTCATTTTGGGTATTTCGTACTGCTGTGTTTTGGGGTGATTACGCGCTCCGTTGGGGTTTTCAAACAAGAGCGCTGTGATGAGCTTTGATCGCTTTGAATGGCTTTTCTCTGCTATAAAAAGTTACGCCGTAATAGTTTGTCGAGCAGGTTGTAACATCAGGCTCTTTGCTTTGTAGTTTCTCGTCCTTAACTTTCCACCAGATCAACTGGAAGTGGTGTTGTCCAGGGCTTGAACGAAGCCACAACGGTATATGCGGTCCAAGCAGATGTTTTTGATTGAGCGACTGGAAGATCTTACGATACTGAGCTCACAGAGTATTGAATTAGCGTACTTATATGCGTTCAGATTTAAGATCCCAACACTTTTTTTTACTATTTTTTAATGCTTTATATCTATAACTAATGGTATATTGAACCCAAAAGTGGCAAGGTCGCTGAGCTTTCGAATTTCTTCGAGAAAATTAGAGCGCCTCTAGAAGCTCATTCAAACTACACGTCTTCACTAAATTTACCCGAAACAAGTTCCAGCTCTAATTAAAAAAAAAAAAAATTAAAACTCCCGTTAGCACTGCTCAAAGCTCGTCTATCTTAATAAGTAACCAACTTTGACTTTGTTAGCATAATTCTTTTGCACACATCGCCTAATCGTTTCTAATTACCTCAAGCCACTAACACTAAACTCGCGAGAAATCAGAGAATGTGTGAAGAGTAACTAAGACGCCCCGCAAGGTGATGAATATTTGCATTATGGTATATTAAATTTCAACGTTAAGACATTTATGGCGCGTAAGACCACATAAAACCAGCATCTAAGTGCTTGGTTCTGTTGTGGAAAATTACACAAAGAGGCCAATAAATTAGCCTTGTCTTCGCGTGTCAGACTTTGGATTTTTGTAAGACAATACATGATGTGCTCTAAAGCAGCCAGCACTCAGCTACCGCAAACAATAAAGACGAAATGCTTTTGCAGATGAGTTCTGTATACTCTGAATGACACAGTTGTCGGTACGGACACCCAAAGGGGTATCATTAGATTACATAACTAGTAGTGCGATATACCGCCCAAATTCAAGTCTAAGGTTTCTTGTCGAGAAATGAGTTCACAATTGACAAGTAGTGACAGCGCCAAGGCTGTGTGGTGTAATGTTGCAAGAGTGTCTTTTGGCAGATCAATTAATTGAAGAACTAGTCCTCAAGTCAGTTTAATACAGGTTTCCCAGAAAGCTCCACTGAAATGTAATGGCATACGCTAAAATATCATAAAAATGTGGAGCTGAGTATATAGAGAGTCAGCGATTTAATGCTTGTGAGACCATTGGTCCCATCCTGTAATTTTTTCCTCACTTGGAGGTTTGAGTTGGTCTTGAAAGTACTTGAAATATGCTGAAATCGGCTCATGAAGCTTGTTATAGTCCTCAAAGTATTGGAAATATGCTGAAAACATTTAGAAACCTTTAACCTCAATAACTCTGTGACGAAAGTTTTGCTGATAGCTTAAAGGATCACATAGTTCAGTGGAAACAAGATTGATGAGATGAGTGATGAGGCTCATTGGCTGAAATTTTATATCTTCCTCTGTCAATTGATGCTCCTGAAGAATTAATAGCATTTTAAATTTAAAATTAATAATTATAATTAAGTTTGCTAGAGCTTTATAAAGCTTTCATGCTCCTAAAAGCTTTGGTCTTGAGTTTTAGTCATAAAGCTTTCTTGCTCATCATGACTTGACTTGGCTAAAATTGGCTAATTGGATTTTTGAGTCGTTAGGAAACAAAAAAGCTCTATAATAGTTTTTATTTTTAAATTTTCATATAGCTTTCTTGACCCTAGAAAGCTTCCGCTTAAATAGTTTGGGACTATCAATGAAACTCACAGCTTTGTAGCTTTAAGTTAACGCTGACTTGGTTAAAATTTAAATTTCATTCAAAACCATAAACTAGACGTACTTCTAAGCTCATCCCTGATTGGATGAAGAGGCCGTCTCGTTCAAACAGTTATAATAGAGCGACAAACTCTTTGAAAGCTTTTATTTTTATATTGAAAACGTAAAATTAACTGGTTCGAAAGCTTTAACTAGACAACTCTCAGCTTTTAATTACACAAAACTGAGCTCCTAAAAAGCTCTTATTGGTAAGTTTTTCATAGACAATCTAAAAATTCTCGGAGTCGAAACCTTAAACTAGACAAACTCCTGAACTTATCCTTTAATGGGTTAAAACGCTATCCCGCTTCTATTTCCATTTTTTATAGGAAAAGAAGATCGTGCGGACTGTTTTTTTTTATAAAAAAATTGTTTTCAAAAAAATGTTCATTATAAATTATTGTGAAATCCCTGTTAGCTGCGACTCAGTCACGATGCGCCGTTATTCATTGCCCTTTTAATTGCCTGATCGCAAGTATAGATTTTAGAAGGGCTTTTGACAGCTCAGCGCCAATCAGACGAAGTGAATTTTCTACTAATTAAATTTATTATAATTTTTTTTTTAAATTTCTCCTGACTTTTATGCAAAATATGGCATTGTTAGCAGCAAGCGACCTTGAAAATAAGTACTAATTGGAAATAGCAATATGTGAATGTAAATAAATAATAATAAAATGCGAAGCTTTCGACACGCTTTGCAGCGTTTTGCCGCTACAAATGCAAATTTCAGTAGCGTTTAAATTTTCCATGCTTATTAGTTGTGTGCT